TCCCTACATACAAAAGGGTAAAACCAAATAATTCATGCAAACAGCTATTTACTGTACAACATACCTTATCAGTAGGTGGTAAAACACATTTTTCAGGACAACAGCATGGATTTCTACCACATAACACTGCTGGCAGCAGGATTGTCCTTAGACATTACTATTTCAAAAAACATCTTTGCTACATTCTAAAAATATTTAACATTTTGCTTTATAGCTGTGCAGTGTGGTAATCCAGGAACAACTGCTAATGGAAAAGTATTCCGTATTGATGGAACTACATTCTCTAATTCAGTAATTTATTCATGCATGGAAGGATACGTACTTTCTGGATCATCTGTAAGACAATGCACTGCCAATGGAACATGGTCTGGATCCTTGCCAAACTGCACAAGTAAGACACATGTCTAATGAATAGTCTTTGTTTTTCTCTCCTCTGAAAGACAATACAGTAAAATATAGAAGTTGGATGCAAATAAATTAAGTCTTCAGCTTTTTCTTGCACTACTTTGTACATAATTTTGTACATGAAATAAATTTAAAAACATAGTGCTATAAGAAGATGAAGAATATGGGTTTTTTTAAAGACAGATACAGTGTAGTAAAATATATAGACTGCTGTTACAGTTTAAAGGAGTTGTATGGTTACATGATCTACCTACTTTAATTCCTCCCTCGCATATATTTTTAACCTTGTTAATGTTTTGTGATACATCACATTCAGACATTATCTGTTTAATTGCTTTCCTCATCATGAAAACTTAGCAATATAATATTCTGGTCTTCCAGAGGGCAGAAAATAAAAACTTTGAAATGAACACTTCAGAATTCTTTTTGTAGTGACTCTGAGGTCAAAACTGTTGTCCTGCTCTCATGTAACGTCTTCTGTTTGGCCTCTTCATTGACCTTGTACTTGCTTTGGTTACTCAGCAAACAGAAGGCATTTCAGCTTCTCATGTTCATAATAATCATTTTGCAACAGTTTATTTTCAAGCCTATCCGTTCCTGCTTTATTACATGTCCTAGTTCATCTTTTAGTAACAATTATGAAAATTTTGCATTTATGTGACACATGAGACTGCCTATAATTTTGAGAAAACATATCCTCATCAGAGGTATAGCAAGCTGTTGCTTAGATTTTGAACTAGTACTGTAGTTTTCCTGGAGTTGGCTACCTTACACACTTATAGCAATCAAATAGAGGCCAAAAGTAAGATGATAAAGAAAACTTCTCCTTCTTGTGTTGTTTTTAAAATCTATATTTAATGGTAAGCATGTGAACAGCTGCTTTTGCAGTCAGCAAATCTGTAAGAAAGCCCAATGTTTTTGTTTCTTTATTATTTTCCAAGTTATAATGAGAACCAGATTAATTGTACCAAGGAGAAGGGTGTTTTGTGGCAATAACTGCACCTATATTTTTTTCTTGTATTTTAGAATTACATTTAGCTGAAGTACATGCGTCTCAAAAAATATTACTCAAGTAGAAACTTGGGATTTTTGCTTAAACCTAGAAAAATGTCTTAACAGAGCAAGTATCCTAATAAAACAAAGAAAGGCATTGTAAAGATTATATGTAATAGAAAAAAATATTCTTGATTTAGAATCATAGAATCATAGAATCA